TACTGATTTAAGACGCCAATTGAATAATGAACCGATGAATGAAGGAACTTTAATTTTTGAATCGACAGAGAATTGATAATTTTTTTCAACCATAGCATCATTTTAAAAAAGTAAAACCTTGCAAATACAGCTATATTGAAGTGCAATTGTGGGTCGTATCTTCCATGATATATGAAGGGAATCAGTACTTGAGCAAAGGTTATAATACTAAGTATGAAAGTAAGGAGTTTGCTAGTTATGGGTTTGAGAGATAAGAGAATAAACGCAAAGAGAGGAACATGGATAATTAATATATAAACTACTGGATTTAATGTGGGTGGAATGTTATATGTCTGAGACATCTTTTTCTGATTATTGGATTCGATCTGACTTTAATGTATTTATACCAGACACGGGGTACGAAGTACGTAGGTTACGGTTTACAGTAGAGTGAAATGGTGTGCGCGATTCTCGGCATATGATTGGGTGATCCATCCTTGTGACTTTGTGTAACACCCCGAACAATACTTTACCAGGAACGAATGCAAAATCTTGTAATTGATTGGTCCGCGTGACTTATTCATAATTCAATATTTACTTTATAAAAAAAGTACATTGTAAATGAGCGCATACATCTGCAAAATCAAAGATGCAATAACAAGCAATAGTAAAAATAAAATTTTTAGGTACAAAAATTAGTGACCCGATATAAGTTTAAAAGGCCTCAATGTTAAATATTTGATAATTTTAATTTTTTTTCATCGAATTTTTTATCGGGCTGATAAAATGATAATCACTGATCGTCAAAGACTTAATCGAAAGAATTTGTCGATCATTTATAAAAACGTAGTGGACGCTAAATTATTTTTCGTTTTTAATGTTTTTGCAGGGCACTCCCCAGAATTTTTGGCCAAAATTATCAGTCAGACATTGACTTAATCAATAGGTTTTTAGGCTCAGTCACCAATGTTCTTTTATAAAAAGTCATTTTCTACATATATGATGTCACTCAATTTTCGTATGTACGTCTGTACAATATTTGTACAATCGTACCGTAATACTTTACTACCTATTTTTTAATTGTTGCACAATGTTCAACTGCCTTTCTATATACAAACTGAGTAACATCTATTTGTGGAACGTATATATAGTGGTAACACTTATAAAAGGTTTATCATTATCAGGTCACTTTTGACATTCATTAATGTGGAAGTTTAATCTTGAATCTTATAAATAATAAACGTGAGTAGATTTCTCGAAATTGGTCTGTACATATAAAAATTAAAAAGGTATTATTTTAGAATCATTGCATTAATATACAAACTTTTTATTTAGACTACGAACTGTACGTATCAAACGGTATTGTTAGGTCTTAATATCAATAATTTTCAAAAGGAAAGTTATAATACGAAAAACATGTCTAGCATTCGTCATGATTTCCTGAGTGAGATTTTTTTTGAGATGAATTTTGTCATAGGACCAACTTTGTCACATAAGGACATGTTAGAATTTATTCAAAAACATGAGCAACTTACTCCACAAGAAAAAATGTATATGATGAATTACATTCGTAATGACATGCATTTAATTAGAAATACTGGAAAATCTCTAAACACATTATGTATATATTGTCAATCCAAATTATCATCAGAATATTCTTGCGTCAACTGTATTCGAGAAATTCTTAAGCAAAACTTTAAAAATTGGACTTCTAGAAATAAGGTTTTAGATTATTGTATTCAGCAATTTCAACTTTATTCTCTTAACTCTAAAAATGCTAGAAAATTAATTGAATGGGTACCCCTTGAAAAATTTCTGAATTTGGTTCATATAAAAGATGGTGGCTTTGGTTCTGTCTATCTTGCAAATTGGTCTGAAGGCCCAATCGCCAAATGGGATGAATATAATAGAAATTTCATTAGATATGGTTCGACGAACGTAGCTTTAAAATCAATGAAAACTTCAAATTTGAATAGTGAAAAGTTTATCAACGAGGTTACTTATTTTCATTCATTCTCATTTATTCTTAACAAATGTTAATTTTGTTGATTTAATGTGAATTTTATGATTTTTCTTCAATTCGATAATTAGGCATTGTCTCACATGGCTCTTACAATAGATAGTCGAGCACTTGTTTCGTGTTATGGTTTAACCAGAGAACCAAACACTGACAATATTATGATGATTCTAGATTATAAATCAGGTGGTGATTTGAATAGGTATTTAAATAACGATATTCCATTGACTTGGAAAGAAAGATATAGAATTTTGTATTATATTTCTATGTCACTTGGTTTGATTCACGATAAAGGAATGGTTCATAGAGATCTTCATCCTGGAAACGTTTTATTAGAGAAATCTGCGTGGTTTGTTAGTGATTTGGGACTTTGTAGCTTTGTTAATGAAAGTACCGAACTTTATGGTGTCATACCTTATATGTCACCAGAAGTTTTATACGAAGCTAAATATACTCCAAAAGCAGACATATATAGCCTAGGAATAATAATGTGGCAACTTTTAACAAAACGCGTTCCATATAATCATCTTAAATTTGACAATATTCAATTATCAATAAATATATATAAGGGTCTTCGTCCTGAAAAGGTTTCTGGTTTACCCCCTGAAGCGTCTGATTATATAGAACTAATGGAAAAATGTTGGGATAATGATGTAAATCTCAGACCAAATGCAAAAGAGATTCATGACTTTGTAAACGATAAATTACAAAAAATATTTAAAGGTGAATTAATCATCCCAGAAGTGGAAATAACCTTAGAACCAATTAATGAGTCGTTCAATGATTTTTCGATCCAAAAACATAATAAAGGTATTTATGTTATGCTATTTATGAATTGCTCATAAAAGGTTTTTGATTTATACTTTTTTTTTTATTAACTAGAAAAAATCAGAAAAGCGATTATGCAACATATGCGTATACAATTAGATAGTAGTGGATTTGCTATACCAATACACGTAGAAATCGGTGACAGTCTTTAATATGATCATATGTCTTTACACCATTTCTTTCATATTTTTTCATATATTCTTTTATATTTCTTAATTCGAATCATATAACTTAATAAAATGATAATAAAAAAATCTAATTTATATGTTTTTTTTTATACTGTACTATCATATGTGTGTGCTTTTTTTTATGATAATTTTCTAAATCTTAAGACATTTGACTGATTACTTATACTTAATAACCTAAAAAATTAAACAAGCTCAAGGCAGAAATCATGAATGTCTACGATAAAAAAAATATATTTATGAAAGTTCAAATTTCACGTCTACATTTTTTAGTTGATGAAAGTTAGGGAAGTTAACAATTCAGTATATTTTTAAGATTTAATTAATTTAAACATATTCAGACGGTTTCAAACCGGACTGGTCTTAAGACTGAGAGAAGACCGTTTTTTCAGTTTCAGTTTCAGACCGGTCTTAAGACTAACCATGATCCAATAGTTTAGACCGGACTAGTGTTACGGCCTAAACCCTTTACCCAAGTCCGAAACGTCCGAAACTGGGCGAAATGTTCGAAACTGGGCGAAACGTCCGAAACTGGGCGAAACTAGGCGAAGCTGGACAAAACTTGATCTTATCTCTATTAAAACCAACTTATCACATAATGCAGACTTCGATATGACGATTTCTAAAAATCACTTAATCGCTGCACTTAAAATCGACCAATGGAATTTCTAAAAATTTCATTGGTCGATTTTAAGTGCAGCGATCACGTGATTTTTAGAAATCGTCAAATCGAAGTCTGCATTATGTGATAAGTTGGTTTTAATAGAGATAAGATCAAGTTTTGTTCAGCTTCACCTAGTTTCACCCAGTTTCAGATGTTTCACTCAGTTTTAGATATTTTGCCCAGTTTTAAATGTTTCACCTAGTTTCAGACATTTTGCCCAGTTTCAAATGTTTTTCCCAGTTCAGACATTTCACCTAGTTTCACCTGATTAAAAGTTTCAATTTAGGCTATAACATTATGTATAGCAAAAAAATTTTCTTTGATATTCATATACAGAAATCATTATATTAATCATTGAAACTTTATACATAACTGATCTTGGTGGTCATGCTAGGTTCATGATATTTCATTCAGTTTTAGACATTTTGGACATTTTATCCAGTTTTGTTAATTTTGTACAGTTTCAGACATTTTAGATATTTTGTTCAGTTTTGAATGTTTTACTCAGTTTTGTTCAGTTTCAGATGTTTCAGACATTTTGAATATTTCATCTAGTTTTGAACATTTCAGACTTGGAATCTTGGGTAAAACTAGGTTTCAGAAGTTTCAGAAGTTTCTTCTAGCTGAAAGTTTTGGTTTAGGCTATAACACTAGACTGGACTGCCTATAACTTTATTGGTAATATACAGGTTTTGCATATCAACTTTGTACAAACAAACAATCAAATTCATACTAACAAACAATCCATTATACAAATTGACAGTCAAATTTATACATAACAATTTTAATTAAATTACAATATTTCATGACCTAGTAACTTAAATTATATAAATTTGGTACCATTTAATTTATCTAATTTTGATAAATCAAATGATACCAGATTTATATAATTTAAGTTACTAGATTACAAAATATTGCAATTTAATTAAAAGTGTTATATATGAATTTGACTATTAATTTGTATGAATTTGACTGCCTGTTTGTATAAATTTAACTGTCAGTTTGTACAAATTTGATTGTCTGTTTATACAAAGTTAATATACAAAACCTATAATTCTATGAACTATTTTTAAGAGTTTATAATTAGTTATATATATAACTTTTTTATATTATTTATTTAAAAAGTTTTTTAAAGGTTTTCTACCAATTACTATATCTAACACCTCTGTTTAAGTGTTTTATTTTAAATATTCTAAATCTGCAATCTGTATTAATATTACTAAATTATGTTTAGATTATTATTTTAAACTTAGAACTATTTTATTTTTAAGATAAATCTTTTAAAACCTTTTGTATCTATTTTTATTACTAGTTAAGTATTATTATAATATGATCAACACTTGTAATTAGAGTTAGCTATTGAACTGCTATATTTTTGTAGAGTTTACTTAAACTTAGTATCTACTTTATAACATATTTCTAGTACTTTAGTATACCTCTATCTGTTTTTTATACTCTTAATCCAAATAACTCATATAGAACCATAACTAGTTTATCATATATCATATTAGGTTTATATTTTTTTTTAGTATTTCTAGTAGTCTAGTTGGTGTTACTTTACACTAAGAGGTTTTTGTTTATCTAAATACTTTAAATTAGTATTAATTTAGTCTTTTTAGTAATATTAATAAAGATTTGTATTATTTCTCTACTTGGATCTTCTTAAATAAACTTCTAATTTTTTAATTTAATAGATTTGCATAATTACAAGAACTTATCTAAAGCTTATATTGTCTGATACTAGTTTATATTTTTTTAAATAATACTATAATTATATATATGTCTTAAATCTGTCAGGTATGCTGATATAATTGCTATTATAGATATTATCTAATTATTAAAAATAGTTTTTTGTGACTTTGTATAATACTCTAAACAATACTAAAAAGAATATGAAATTTTTGCTTAATATATGATGAATAGAGTGCAATTGGTTTAATATAACTTATACAAACCTATGTAAGTATCTTATTTGTATAATACATACATTTTAGGTTTAAAGTTATTTCTTGTTTTCTAATTGTTTATTCTTGATCTTATAGATTTTGATTTCATGTACCTCATATGATTAAGTAACAAAAAAGAAAAACCTGTAAATTTTTTTTTTCCATTAGACAGTCACGCTAGTACTTTATTAAGATTTTTGCAATTGCTACAATTATATAAAACTACCTAACAAATAAGTCTAGCATCACCTGGCCACCCTAATGGCGCCTAAGTGCAACCTGTCACATTACTTCAAGCAGAAGTAAATCACTCGTCTGACTACTTAAAGTCC